AATATTTCAATAGTTCTGCTATTTTATTCAATGTGGAGACGAGTCCAACAAATCACAGATTATTAAAATCGTTCCTATTGTTCTTGAGTTTTAAAACTAACCCGACTTTGTTAGATAAAATATATTTTTTAAAGAGTGAAAAAATTGTTAAGTCGGAAACGACAATCAAAAGCAATTTCAGATATCAAATAATGCAATACACCAAAACACTTATTTAAACTGTGTACGCTAACTTAACACTGTTTGGCTAATCATATATTCATCGACTCGCAATATATTATTATTACCATACTCGTTTTATTCAATCAACAATACCAGATTTCAGGTTCCTGCGATTGTCCTTCCTAACATATTTATATAATATGCCGGCAATGTAGTACAATCAATCTGGCATTTTAACTGCCATCAAATTCCCCCCGCTCTCATACTTTGCCAGTCGTAAGTGGTCCAGTGGGAAAGCTTAAATACAAAAATTCGTATCCCCTCACCCCACCATTTTTGAGAAACTTATTTGTAAAAAAAATGGATTCGATTTTCTGGCTGAACCGTAGGTCCCACAGAAAATTTTATGAAACAAGAAATGAAGAGGGTGAAACCATTCGGCCTATTGTCGTGTTCCTCCCTCTGGTCCGCATTCCAGCACTAACTATTCGATCAGCTGACGAAATGACGTCTTTTGGCAATGCAGACGCGAGGGTTTTGAACTTTTTCGTTTGCAGAGTAAATATTTTGTCCCGGTAGGTTTTAGAGCTTTGCTATTGAAAAATTAAATTGTAGAGAATTGAATTCTCTTTGTAGAGAATTGAATTCTCTTTATTTTTTGTTTTATACAATTTTCTGTTTAGCCAGAAAATAGAATCCAAATTTTTTTTGAGTTTCTCAAAAACGCTAACTTCAGCCCACCTAAAAAAATTTCAAAACGATCAGAGTTATAACCATCCTCAGTTCGAGTGAACATGGTAATCCGCGAAGATAACTTGCAGTACACAATCGACCGTCATTGATTCCCACATTGTGGGAATGAATGCAACATATCTCGTAAAGAGTAAAATTTTTAAAAAGTTAGACATTAATTTGATATTTTTTTTATACTTTTAAAAACTTTGCGACAGTAAAAAAATAGTTTTACTGGAAAAAATAAAAAAAACTGCGTTTGAGTGATTTTGGCTCCCTCTAACTTATTTGTCCCCGTAGGATTTGGAGGTTTATTAGAGACGAAAATATAGAGAATTTCTCTTTATTCTTTGTTCATTTTTTGTTCCATTTTCTTCATTTCTTGTTCCTCAATTCTCTTCATTTTTTGTACCATAAAATTTTCTGTGGCACCTACGGTTCAGCCAGAAAATCGAGTCCAAAATATTTTTGAGTTTCTCAAAAATGGTGGGGTGGGAGGATACGAAGTTCTTTTAGTTTCAAAGTAAAGGAATTTTTCCAATTTGTTTTATCTCAAAAACTGCGACTTTGACTGATTTTGATGTTATTACAAATTTTGTTGCAAATATTATTCCTAATCTTAAATTGAAAACCGCGTTTCGCTAGCTACTGTAATTTTGGAGTTACGATTTTTTAAAATGTTTAACCCCCTTCCATACCCCCTTACCAACAATACACCCCCACCAAAAACTAATGGTCAGATTCTCGGTTGCCACAGTATTTTTGTACCAAATTTGGTTAAAATCGGTTTAGCGGTTTTTGAGTTATCGTGTTACAGACGGACAGACGAACAGACAGACAGACACCATGAAAATATTTTGTATTTAGGTCACTTATGACCCAAATAACTCTTTTTGAGTAAAATTAAAAAAACTTTCGATCTTAATAGCCCACAATACCTGTTAGTATGGTCGGCTAAAAAATTAAATCTTGTACTTAAATTTTAGTCTTTACATCTATGTAACTTTTAGAAGTTTAGATTTGAAGACATGAGTGGATAAAGGATAAACAATAATGAATATATTGTCCGATTATATAGCGTGACTTCTAGGTGGCTTCAGTGTGAAAAAAGTGGGCAGTACCGTGCTATGGCTGGGAACATAACCTTGTTAGGCAAAACTTGTTTGCGTTTGTTCACCCACAGAAATTACATGTTTTCGATGTACGTCATCGAAAACAACGATTAAAATATTACAGCTTATTGTTTACTATACTTATTTATTATGTTGCTTCTCTGAAATAAATTATTGAAATGAATATAATTATGTGTTCAATTTTTATTTCATGATATAACCATCTGATTAATATTATTTTAAATATAGACAATGCAAATCTAGAGATATACCGGGTTTTGTACAGAAGTGGCCCAACCCCCAAACCAAACGTTTTTTTGATTTTTTAGATAAAAAACGAGATTTTGTAATGTTAGTAAAGGCTATAAATCAGAATTGATTGACGTTTTCAATTAATTTCGCTCACTTCCTCTTTCATCGGAAAGGAATAAAACTTTTGATTTTTAAATGGTACTCTCCGTATTTTTTTACTTTATTTATACCGTACGATCGAAATTATAGAAAAAAAATATTTTTTTGAAAATAGATTTGTGTGTTTGGCAACCTTCAATTTTTTTCAATCTTGATACATAATTAGTGTTAATTTTTGATAAGTTTTATGTTAGTTTTTAGTAAATGACTTCTAGAGTTTGACCGTGCTAAAATTATTATCGATTGTTATTCCTCAGCCATCTTCGACACTGTTTTTGTTCGATAATAAGTATGACACATTTTATAAAAATTCATCAATACAAGGAAATATAGAAAAGCATTTTTTTTGATAACAAGCAGACTCAATATCCGATATGTTCTTTGAAAATTCCTAAATACAACCAAAAATCTGTTTTGTATTTTCTTAAATTATAATAAAACAAAAACCAATAATAAATGGCAATATAATATACACAGCTACACTGGGGCACAAATATATAATTTTAATCATTATATTCTCCAATCATTATACAATAATTCTGACAACTGCTCTATGACATAGTGTTTTAACTATACCTCTTTTGGTTGCTTCAGAATGGTTCGACTTAGAATTTATTTTGTAAAAAATAATATTGTCCCGTATGTGCGGGTTTTCTATATACAGCAGTGCTAATGGTTCCATCGCTTCTACTGAAAAGAACATCCAGAAACGGTAGATAGAAGTTTTGCTCTTTTTCAATCGTGAATCTGATTGAGTTATGTCGTGAACTGAAACGGCTAAGAAAGGAATCCAACTGTCTATCGGTTCCGTTCCAGATTATAAAGGTATCATTAACATATCGAAGCCAGATTTTAGGTTTGATGACCGCGATACTAATGGCATTGGTCTCGAACCATTCCATACATATATTCGCTATCACTGGAGAGAGCGAGGAACCCATGGGAAAACCATCATTTTGAGCATAAAACTTTTCTTTAACTTGAAAATAAGAATTATGCAGACAACACTTCAAGAGCTCCATCACTCTCCTAAAAGGCAGCGAAGTTCTTTCGGAAAGCGTTACGTCATCCCTCAATCTAGCTTCGATGATGTCTAACGATTCCTCTAAAAGGACGTTGGTGTATTAATTCTCTAAGTCAAAATTGACAAATTTGTCTGAAGGACCTTCTTAAGCATATCTACAAAATGTTTAGAGTTCTTAACAAATGAAGAAGTTTTTCCTACCAATGGTTGGACAATTTGAAGGAGAAATCTACTGAAATTGCTAGTTGCTGAATCTCTTGAACTAGTGATAAGTCTCAGTGGCACACCATCTTTGTGATTTTTTTTCGGTAACCCATAAAGATGTGGTGGTTTACTGTGATGTGGTGTAAGCTATGTTCTTGAATTATCAGGTATGAAATTCTTATATTTGTATAAAGTTCGGCAGATTTTTCCCTCAATTATCTTAGTAAGATCACTAGATATTAAGGTATATTTGCGTAGTCTTTACTTAGCTAGAGTCTCCACGATTTTACTATCGTACTCATGGGCGTCCAATATAACTGTGGCCTTACATTTGTCCGCTGGTAAAATCTTAATTGTGTCGGCCTTCCGTAGTTCTCTAATTGCAGCTTGTTCTTCTTTGGTGCTGTTTGACGTCCGCTTTTCCGGTTTTTCCAGGACTGTTCATATTTTCCATCTTAGTTCCATCTGCATTCGGTCCCTGTACTCTCAATGTTTCCATTGAGCTCATAATGTCTAGGGTAGGTGTTTTCTGAGGTACAAGGACAAAGTTGAGTCCTTTGCTCAAAATATGTTTCTCAGAATCGGAAGAAACCTTAGAAGATAAATTAATTATCGTTCTTTTAACCTCTTTATTGGCACTAGTTTTGGAATGTAGGTCTTCTTTAATTCGAAATCATATCCTATCAATTTCCAATCTTCCAATCCAGTCTTTCCAATCCAATATAGGCTTATGGTCTTATTCCCAAGTTAATTCTTTGATTTCCTCAAACCGCTGTTGGATGTCATTCAGCAGAATTGATTTCTTCCATCTGTGATAATTAATTTGGGATCGCATTAGTGTTCGACTGTCCTTATCCAATATACGCCGAGCTCTAGCTCCTTAGATAGGTGACTTAATGTAAAAGCCATTGGGAATGATGTTTTTATCCCGCGCTGTACATAAGAAGGTAATGTGAGATACCTCTTCTTATCAGCTTAATTTTGTTCTTTTCGTAGCCTCGGAATTTTTCGCTGATGCAGCGTTCGTACAGGTTTTCCAACGTATAAAAGAGTTTTGGACTTGCATTGTCTTTAATTATTTTGCTTACACAACATTTCGGTCAGAAATATCACTGTCCGAAACCACTAAAGCGATGAACTAAACTAAATCCTAAAACTACTGAGCTTATATACTAGGTGTCATGCTTGCCTTGGTGCAGTCAAGAATGACAAAATAAAATGAAATACTATTGCGCCAAAATTGCGGCGGAATCTCCGTCAGCATTGCGGCAGTGTCCGCGTCAGCATTTCAGGGTTAAGATCATCTTTCAAAATTTTTTCTTTTACAATTTTTAATTAACCCTATTTAATTTCAGTCAATTGTCAACTGCTACAAGCTCCACCCTCCATGTACATCGACAGGACTTGGCAGATTCCCGACAACGAACCCGTTGGAAGCAAGATAGCCCAAGCCCACGGCGAAATTATCGAAGGATATAACTATACCTATGGTTTAGAACCTATTCACTTCTATGGCATGAAGGACAATCCGGAACCATTGCCGTTTAGGATTGATCCGAACAGCGGGATGGTATACCTGAACCAATCATTGGCAGGAAAAGTAAGTGATAAGTTTATGCATTTTTGTAATAAGTAATTGAGTCAAGTTTAATTTTACAATTGATTCAATATTTTTTTTTTACTTTTAAAGTCTCATTCAGAACCTCGAAATTAGTGGAATGAATTAGTGGTTTCAGTTATACTTTAAGCTTGATTCAGAACCACACAATTAGTGGAGTAAATTAGTGGTTTCAATTAGCGTAGAAGTTTGTTCCTTAAATTTTAATGTAAGTATTTTCTCGCAGTTAGTGGAATAAATTTCCGGTATAGTTCTGAATGAAGCTTCAAGCTTCATTCGGAACCTCGCAATTAGTAGAATACATTAATGGTTTCAATTACACTTTATACTTTTTAGTTTATGATCATTCACAATCACAATGTTTAAAAAACACAATTAAAATTAATAGAAGATCCTAGCAACAGCTTGCGTTAGTCAGTTGTATCCTCGGTTGTATCCATAGAGAAAGCCTAATATTTAGTTTATAAAACAATAAACTTTTGATTTCTAATTACAATTTTGACGGATTGATAATCAAAGGTCAAAATGAAATTCCCCGCAAATTTTAAAGTATAATTGGTGGAAAATTCAAAAGTTGGTAAACTTTTTCTACTAATTGAAAATGACTACCACTAATTTAGACGTTCTGAATGCCTATATTGAAATTAAAGAAAGAAACTTCTACGCTAATTGAAACCACTAATTTATTCCACTAATTGCAAGGTTCTGAATGAAGCTTTATACTTTACGATCATCACAACGTCTAAAAAATACAATTAAAATTCATAGAATATCACGGCAACATCTTGCGGAGGTCAGTTATAAGCCTAATAAATTAGACTATAAAACATAAAACTTATTTTTTCATGATGTTATTTTTTTAAATATCGCGAGATGGCTTGGGTGACTATTGTCGTAATGTCATATTGACGTTGCGTTTTTTGCATATGAGTTCATTAATTAACCTAGCAGATTTTGTTAAACTTTCTCGAACGTAATCTTTAGATGACACTGGATAATTTTTTTACAATAACCCTAACATGTACTGGCGCAACTCGCATTTGAAATTAAATCATAAACAACTTTGGTCTTTGATGCTGTCATTTATTTTAAAAGAGTAAAAAAGTATCAGTGCAAAGAAGCAATATGTTGCAAAATAAATATAAAGTCTGAGTAGACCAATATCTTACTTTCTACAAGTTAGAAACCAAATTACAATTTTTTTCCAACCGTAGAACTTTTTCTGAAGTTCGTGAGTATTAAAAATGTATCTACTTTTCGCCAGAGATTTATTTTTCCCATATATCTGAGAAATATATAAATTTTTTGGTGGAGTTGCCTTACTTTTTTTAGGTAAAAAAGTTGCTATATATAAGAACGAAAAGAGCATTTTCTACAGCATTACTTTTACTTGAAAAGAATTGGAAGATAAATTTAACCAAAAAGTTTATATTTTTATTTATTAAAGTTTTATCAATAGATACGAAAATAATTTGTTTTTTTGTTGTATATGTACCCACAGTTTAATTGTTTTTGTATTTGTTTAAAAAAAAAAGTCCAACGGAATACCCAGCTAGGTCTTCTACAGGGTCCGGCAACAGTGCGTCGGGCATCTGTAGCTCCTAGAATAAAAAACTTTTTCTCACACTTTTTTGACCCACCCTATAGAAGTTTACATATTTTCCTGAAATACATCCTAGTACATACTTTAGGTTTGCACTTAAACAAAATTCTCAAGTTTTTTATTCTAGGAGCTACAGATGCCCGACGCACTATTGCCGGACCCTGTATAAACTGTCTAAGGGCTCATCTTGTTCATAAGCAAGCCTTTCTACTGGTTGATAGTCGGACATGGATACATGTCCTGCAACTTCTTCAGTGGCTCACTGTTAAGAGTCCATTTCACTAGGCCGAAAAAGTAGCAAAATAAGCGTTCGGCATTTAACGTTTTATGCAAAACTGGCTAGGTATTTTTACACAAATGAAGAAAGAAATTAAAGATAAAGGATTATACTATATGCGTATTGTAGCACATTTTTAGATAACATCTTTATTTTTAAGATTCTGATGAGCAAACATCAACAAAACATTCCTTATGTTTGGACTAAATTTTCTCGAAAATAAAGACGTAATTTAAAATTACGTTACAATGCGGAAATAGATTGAAGTTTTGTGATTACAGTGATATATAACTTATATAGTTTTGTAACAAACTGCTCGCTATTTTATGGCAAAGGCCGAAGCTCTGCAAAACTTAATCAAGCCTTAGTCAAAACACGTGTGTTTGGAATTCTGGGTGCGGCTGAACACCACAGGACCAGGCTAAGCCTTATGCAGATATCTGAAATATAATATATATTTCCTTCGGCTAAACACTCGCTTTACCCGACCCCTGAGAGCGACCCAAACAGTACAGTGTAATAGATTTTCAAAGTCTGAAGCTGCTAAGGTCACGAAGGTCTTAGAACATTATAACGATTAAGTATAAGCGATACCAATTAACTTTTAGATACGTAATCGAGGACGCGACTTTTAAATTCATTGTTGCCAACCATTTACATATTCGGCGTCGGGCTGAGTAACTGGAATTTAAATTTCCCGCTGAGCATTCAGGTAGTAGCTCTGCTGTAAAGAAGTCAAGTAATGATATATAAAAGACCAACCCCAGAGTTCCCAACTGCCAAGGGAGTACGACCGGGAGACACGATATCTCCAAAACTGTTTACAGCAACACTAGAAGCAATCTTCCGTCAACTGGACTGGACCAACAAAGGATTAAAATTAGATGGAGAATATCTCAACCATCTAAGATTCACTGACTACATTAGCCAAAATTGCCATAGCCCTGAAGACCTACAAGCACAAATTAACGAACTAAATACAGCCAGCAATAAAGTGGGTCTCAAAATAAACTTAGCAAAAACTAAAGTAACGTACAATGAACTAGTTGGCAGAAAAGGCATTCTAATAAATTACACAACATTGGAAATAGTAGAAGAATAAATAAATTTGGGACAACTAATACACAGCTCCGGATCCCTACTACCAGAAATCAACAGAAGAATTGAGTTAGCATGGAGTACTTATGAAAGAAATTCAATCATATTCAAATTTAGAATGCCACTTTGTTTAAAGAAGGAAACATTTGACCAGTAATGACCTATGCATGCGAAACCTAGATACTTAAAACGGACATCATAAGGAAACTGCAGGTCGCACAACGCTCAATGGAACGAAACATGCTAGAAATAACCAAGAAAGACCGTAAAAGAATAGAGTGGATACGACAAAAGATCCAGGTAGTAGATGTTATCCGCAGAGTCAAATCCCTCAAGTGGCAATGGGCAGGACATCTGGCAAGAAGGACGGACAACAGATGGACTACAAAAATCACAACATGGTACCTACGAAGAATTAAGAGACTTAGAGGAAGACCAAACCTGAGATGGAACCATGATATTAGGAAATTAGCATGGGTAACTTGGGCCCGCATATCCAACAATAGACAACAATGAGTCCAACTACAAAGAGAGTATCTACATATGTGAGAGAGGCTACACCATACTTGGAAATGGTAGAATAAGTTGAAAGTGATAATTATGATGATTCTGCTATCCGGGATTGAGACGATTCCAACAAATAAGAAATTATTAAAATCGGTCCAGCCGTTCTCGAGATACAAATGGTGTAACTAAGCCGACTTTGTTTAATATATTTATACTATTATTGTTCAAAACAAAAGGAGGTCGATTGTGACTCGATTAATAAGTAGAAAAATGTGTTTTTTTAAATGCAATAAGTAAATATGAATTTATCGATTTTTAAGATTAAAAGACTCTGTATTGAATTTCTCACTGTTCCACGTGCCATCAAATAAAGTATTTGCAAGCCTTTGACACTCTAAAGATGGGATTTTTCAAATATTTATATTTCCTCGTTTGTTACTCTTTCCGGCTTAAATTATCAACTCACTTCCCACCAGCTTTTTTATTCCAGTAAATCGAATTTCCTCTTTTCAATTATCCTTCTTTTTACTACTTTGAATTGCTCTCTTCTCAATTGACTACTTGAAAGCTCGAAGGGATGTTTTTGAATATAAAATGATTATTTTTTAAATTACCAGAGAAATATCTCTGATAAAAGGATTGATTTCACTGTAATTTTTGGATTTGTTTTTAATTTGTGTACATTTTAGATTCAATTGACTTTTTAATGCTCATTAGTAAAGATAGGAATTTGAGATTTAAAAAAAGCAGATACTGCTTCATTTTTCTTGATGATAATAAATAAATACTTACTTATTAACCTATTTTAGGCAAATTAAATAAAATTAAACTGTTATAAATTTAAATAAAGTCCATAAACTAATGTCGATTTTGAAAATAGCTACTAACTGTGACTAGCAAATTGCAATGGCGACACCAGCCATCTTGATTGCCATTTTATTGAAAAATCTTTTTTTATTCAAAATCTGAGCCAGATAGGTATAGGAAACCCTAATATAGTTTGAAAGGGCATTTAAATCTGCTTCGACTTATTTTAAAAAATACATAGTTATTGTATTTTGAAATAACGAAGTTTTTGTGTAAATTTTTGATACAAGCAATTTTTGATACCCCTGTATACATTAAAAGGAATCAATAAAATTTTTTTATTAAAGATTATTTCTCTGGCTTCAAAATCAGCACAAGAACTGACTCTGAAAAGTAATGTACAGGGTGTTGACAAACTTTTTTATTATAGCATGCATATTTAAATATCTTTAAATATCTCAAAAATCAAAGCATTTAAACATATTAAACCCTTATAATAAATGCCTTATTTTATGCCCAAGAATCCAAAAATGAAATAAAATACCGGGTGTTCCATAAGAAAAAATATAACTTTGGTGTGGATCTTAGTTCTGACTGAGGTTCTGACACACCCTGTACATTTGAAAATAATTTTAAATTATGCACATTGTCTCTCTACATATACTCACAAAAAAATTTGTTTCTACATCT